TCATAAGTTCCACAATGGTTGACTTAAAATCTTCCATGTTAATGTAATTTTGTGTAAGTATTTTCCTTTAGTGTAGCCTGATATTCTGGAACCTGTGTATGCCAAAAAAAAAAAAAATTCCCTGTGTAGAACTTGTCTTTGTTACCACAGTAAAGGTGATGCCCCAAAAAGAATTTTTCCTTTTTTTATATATATATATATATATATATATCCGCGTAGAACTTGTTTTTTTTTTTTTAGAAAATTCTACGTAGAACTTGTTTTTTAGAATCTCCACGTAGAACTTGTTTCTTCAGTTTTCTCGTCGATACTGTTATGTGCGACAGATAGCAAAAAGGTTTGTCCTCCGAGTAGAGAGTTGGTTTCTTGGGTTACCTTGTCGCCACTTGTTATGTGCGACGGATAGCAAAAAAGCTATGTCTTCCGCGTAGAGAGTTCGTTTTTTTTTGTTTTTTTAGGGTTTTCTCGTCGCCACTTGTTATGTTCCAAATTCCTTGTACTGCGGTGATGGTCCAAGGTTAGAACCAATGAAACAATAACACGAACACAGGTATGGAATACAAAAATATATTACAACAGAAATATAATACAAAGAAGTAGAAGTATTAGTAATGACTATCAGATTTGGTTAGAGTGAACTATGTTGTCTTGACAAGTATCACTATTCCAATGTCCTTACAATATGCTCTCAGATATCTCTCCACGTCTTAAAATATATCTGCTCATACCTCTTGAGAGGCTCAGTATTTATAATGTCAGGAATAGTCCATTATTATTATGGGTGAGTTCCCATAACACTATCTTTCGATCTATTTCATTTTCCATTGTCTGCCTATCTATTGCAGTTTCCATTATATATATATATATATATATATATATATATATATATATATATATATATTGTATTTTCCATTATCTATCTATCTATTCAATTTTCCATTATCTATCTATTGTATTTTCCATTATCTATCTATCTATCTATCTATCTATCTATCTATTGTACTTTCCATTATCTACCTATCTATTCAATTTTCCATTATCTATCTACCTATCTATCTGTCTATCTATCTATCTATCTATCTATTGCATTTTTCATTGTCTATCTATCTAAATATCTATTGCATTATTCATTATCTATCTTTTTATCTATCTATCTACTGCATTTTTATTGTCTGTCTGTCTGTCTGTCTGTCTATCTATTTATCTATCTATCTATTGCATTTTCCATTATCTTTCAATCCATCTGTATATTGCATTTTCTATTATCTATCTATCTATCTATCTATTCAATTTTTCATTATCTATCTATGTATCTATTGCATTTTCCATTGTCTAGCTATCTAAATATCTATTGCATTTTTCATTATCTATCTATCTATCTATCTACTGCATTTTCCACTGTCTGTCTGTCTATCTATCAATCTATCTATCTATCTATCTATCTATCTATTGAATTTTCCATTATCTATCAATCTATCTCTATAGATTCAAGTGTGAATTCAAGAGGAATCATCCTTATATGTTAGATGTTCACATTTATATTTGTACTTAACTGTTTGTTTTGTTTATTCGTATCTTCTCATCCCATTCTGGTGTTCTCTTACTTTTCTCTTATTTCCCCTTTTCGATTGCCTCATCTGTCTCATCTTGACACCCCTATAGCCCAGTAATATGATCCTGCCTTCCAGCTAAAAAATATTTACGTCTAACAAATAAAACCTCTATATTTTTCGTTCATTTTATAAATGGAAAATCATAAATCAAAGCTGATCTGTACATTTTTGCATCTAAAATTTCAGTATCACTTCCAGCGACATCTAGCGGACACTTTACATGGACATCTTTTTTTTTTTTCACTAAGATATATTTACGGAAAGAGCTTCAAATATATAACGTTTAACTATACAAATCTGTAAGATCCAAATGTAAAAACAAAATTTGGTTTATTAACATTGCCAATTTAATTAGCCCTTGTTTGTAAATGCCGAAATATTTATATTGTCTTTCTATATTTTTAAATGAATCGCTTCAAAGATACCTCAGATCACAAGAATAGACGAGACTCATCAAATCACGTCAGTTCTCACGATAACTCTGCTAGCAAGAGCTATCTACGGAAATAAATTTAAAATATATAATGTTTAACTGTAGAAAAAGTTAAAATAAAAATGGTAAAAATCAAAAGAAAAGATTACTACTGTGAATTTAATTATATTTTTTTAAATATCCAAGATTTTTACTGCTTCTATATATGTTTTTTTCTCCTTATCTTCAAAGGTAGTTTCGTTCAGAAGAATAGAAGAAGCTCATCAAATCTCGTCTGTTTTCATGATAACAACACTGCCACGAGATCTTAATACGCATTCCTTCGTTACTCTGGATTTTCGTATTTTTTATCTTGAGTAGATTAAAAAGAGAACATGGTTCATGAAAATTCAGCTGTGAATACAAAGATCACTCTGTCATGCAAGTAATCGCTCCCACGAGTGTTCGTCTATTTTAATGGATATATATGAAACAAAATTTGATAATGATAACGATAGCAATGTATTTTTTCTTACAAGGATATTCATCATGTAAAAAGCCCAAGTGTCACTCGAGGTAGAGGGTTACAGAGAAGGAGGCACAGTTTGTGGGCATATGTGGAGAGGAAAACAGTTAACCCTAAATTTGAACAGGTTAAGATTGTAGTTGAAACATCCACTAGGGCAGGGAGGTCCAATTCGCGGTCCGCGGGCCCTATTTTCTTTTCTTTTGATGCAACATGTCTTTTCAGGGCGTAGGCGATCATGGCTCTCCACCTCCTTCCATCCCTTGAAGCTTTTAACAAGTTCCTTCCCTCTGCTTCCTCCCCAAGACCGCGTTCTGTCATCCACTTGCTTGAGTCCGCCAGGTATGTCACGCGTTGTTTTCCCTTGTATCTCTTCCCCTCTATTCGACCCGTGAGTATCAGATTCTCCAGGCCGTCTTTTCTCATCATGTGTCTCAGCTGCATCTTACTACGGCCCACAATATTTTCATGCAGCCCTCAGCGCCCTAAAATCTTTAGGCATATTTTCATTTATTTTAGTAAGGTATGTCGAGAAAATTATTCTCAGATTGTGCTAGTTGGTCCAGTTCCCCATACTGCTAAAAGTGGGGAGAGGACAAAGGTCTTTGCTGAGAAACACTGGCTGGGGTGGGGGTCAGAGCTAGAGCTAAATAACAATTATATAGCTTTCTATAAAACTGTTATGCATGTGGGTTAGTAATTGCTGTGAACAATTCTTTTTCCTGCATGAAAAACATCAAATCTGCTAAAAGAAATAGGTTGAGTAATTTCCATTTAACTAATATTCTTAGAATAAAGACTAGTACCATAAAAGCAGATTTTGGCAATATTACAAAAGGAAAGAAATGCCCCAAAAATATATTGAATTTATTTTATTTTGTGTATGAATAATTTCTTTATTTTTACTGTCAATAATAGAGTATTTTTTTTCTACTTATAAATGTTATTAAAATTTTGATTTTTCTAAAAGTATATTTATATAAAGTACATTTGTGGCCTGATGAATATACCTAAATTTCTAATTTGGCCCATTAGGAAAAAAGATTGGATAACCCTGCTCTAAGGAGTCGGTCCCCCAAGTAGCATTTTATGCGAAGAATCTGCTCGAATAAAACGTACATCTCACCAATGAAATATGACCCTCCTTGAAAGAACATAGGTTCGTCGCGATAAGTGATAGTTCAAGGCCTACTCGGCGACGATAGAATTATAAGTCAGCTCACTTACGTCATTAGTTTGATTTTCGAGGTATTAAATGAGACCAGCCAATTCTTGCACCACTGAACTGTTGAAGCTAGCTCATGGGAAGACATCAGCTGCCAATCTCTGATCATCTAGAGTTTTGGTGGTACGCCCAGATAGATAGATAGATAGATAGATAGATAGATAGATAGATAGATAGATAGATAAAATGAACATAATTAGATGGATGGCTATATAGGTAGAATACTCATAATGAGATAGATAGATAGATAGATAGATAGATAGATAGATAGATAGAGAATGAACAGTCTGAGATAGATAGATAGATAGATAGATAGATAGATAGATAGATAGATAGATAGAACATAATGAGATAGTTAAAATGATCATAATGAGGTAGATATAATGAACATAATGAGATAGATAGATATGAACAGACTGAGATAGATAGATAGATAGATAGATAGATAGATAGATAGATAGATAGATAGATAGATAGATTAGAACAATTTGCGATAGACAGAATCCAATGTGTTTTGTAATCATCAAATCGATCATTAGCAGTGAATGTGAGCTTACTTATAATTTCTTAAGGGATACTCAATATGTTTCTCTAATCGATGACAATTTTCAAATCTTTGGCAACAATATAATTTGGCAGCCGAGATACTAACACGCACACACACACACAACACACACACACACACACACGCCCCATCCCTGCCATTGCCAAGACCCTGTCGAAAAGGCAGAGAATATCTTACCTTTATTCTGAAGATTTGGAAACCATTCAAGTATATCAGGTGTGAAGTCGTCGCACACTTTTTTTTTACTTTCGTTTTTTTTTTTTTTATTTATTTGTTCATTTTCTAATGGACAAGTGCTTAAAAGAAAGTAACTTTATATTGCGTGGGGAAAACAAACTTTGCCAATACTTGTCTTTCTGAATGAGTCGATTGGTATCTTCATTTTTTATTTTTTTCACTTTTTCTCTGTTTTCATTTTTGCTGTTTATGGCTTCGCACTCCAGTCGAATTCCGACGTGTACACAGAAAGCAGATCAATAAATGAATCGGAGCGCATATCGTAATAGTGAAGACGTTGCAAAGTAATTCACTAGTAAGTATAGTCATTTCGATCCTCACTAGGTCATCGAAAATCGGAGTCACATGAAAAATTAGCAGCAATTATTTGGGCAATAAATTAATAATGAGTCTGTCTTAAGCACCATGACTGTTAAATCTTACTACTTAACAAACACCTGAAGCCTTATTGCGAACAAAAATAAATTAAACTCATAGATAGATAGATAGATAGATAGATAGATAGATAGATAGATAGATAGATAGAAACCTCGTAAGACAGAAATATAGATAAGAGCAGGCTGATAGTATGCTTGACGATATCTAAGACATGTTAGTTCTAGAGGAGCGAAAACCATATTGTTAGATAGATAGATAGATAGATAGATAGATAGATAGATAGATAGATAGATAGATAGATAGATAGAAACCTCGTAAGACAGAAATATAGATAGGAGCAGGCTGATAGTACGCTTGATGATATCTAAGACATAAGTTAGTCCTAGAGGAGCGAAGATTAGATAGATAGATAGATAGATAGATAGATAGATAGATAGATAGATAGATAGATAGATAGATAGAAACCTCGTAAGACAGAAATATAGATAGGAGCAGGCTGATAGTATGCTTGATGATATCTAAGACATAAGTTAGTCCTGGAGGAGCGAAAACCAGATAGATAGATAGATAGATAGATAGATAGATAGATAGATAGATAGATAGATAGATAGGGAGCTAATGTGACTGAAATATAGATATGAGCAGGCTGAAATAGGCTGACGGTATGCTTGGTGATACCTGAGACATCAGTTGTCGTCCTAGAAGAGCGAGAACATTTACTGTCAAAAAGATAGATTGTCAAGCTCATATCGATACTGGCGTCTGCGATAATACTCACGAAGAAGAAGGAATTTTTAACCTTGCTCTTAACCAGTGACCAGCAGAAAACAGCGAACATCTGCGAATAAGCAAATTGCTAGATAATAACATTTAGCATCATCGTTTTTATTGCAATTTTTCACGAATATCTGGGCTGTTGTTTGGCATGCCTCTGCTTTTCTCTACGATTATTACTATTATTATTATTGATAATATTACTACTACTACTAGTACTACTACTATTACTGCTACTACGATACAGACCTAGCTACATGTATGTAATGAAGGAAACCATTAATATTTAGAACGTTGATGTTATTCAGCGTAATGGAATAACCCTACATATAATCAGATTTGTAAATATGGTTTCACATTTCAAGGACTCAGAAATCAGAAGAAAAAAAAACAATAAAAAAGAATTTTAGAATGTCTTAAGATCTCGAAAAGCAGGCATATAATATGCTAAAGCGAGGCCTCGTATCTTGTAGCGACCCCTATCTGAGCTTGTTTCTTCGTTTGTTGAAAGTTTCCGCCTAAGGGAGGTAACTGTATGCAACGCAGTGGTTAAGAGGCATCTGCTACACAATGGAGATTTGTAAGATTTTTATGTCGCACTTCGTTTCTCCATATTAATCGATTATTTCTTTTTGTGTTATTTTTTTTGTTTTTTTTTTACATGCTTCTCATATGATATATTATTTCTTCCTTTTTCATTTTTCAGGGTTTTTTTTCTTTTTCCTTCGTTTTAGTTTGATTTTCAATCTCACGAGTTTGTTTTCTTTTACATTCATTTTAAATATTCTTTCAATATTTCATTTTCTCTTCATTTCTCTCTCCGATTCTCTCTCTCACACACACTCTCATTCACTCTCTCAATCTCTCTCTCACTCTCACTCGTTCTCTCTCTCATTCTCATTCACTATCGCTCTCACTCTCTCTCTCTCTTTCTCATTCTCCCACTCTCACTCAATCTCTGTCACACTCTCACATGCTCTCTCATTCTTTCTCACTATCTCTCTCATTCTGGCTGACTCTCTCTCTCTCACTCTGTCTTTCTCTCTCACACACTCTCACACGATATCTCTCTCTCATTCTCAATTACTATCTCTTTCTCATTCTCTCTCTCTCTCTATCTCTCTCACTCACTCTTTCTCGCTCATTCTCTCTCACTTACTATCACGTAAAACGTGGAGGGGGTCACAAGGAATCCATGTACGGATAGTGTTTAGCTCTGAAATTAGGACTCCTGGAAGTGAACAAACATGATATCAATAAAAAATATCCCTGAAAAATTCACCCGGGAAAAAGAAATTAAGAAATTTATAGAATTGCACATTATGTTGCTGCTTGTTTTGTAGAAATGCCAGATTTTACAGAAATATTTGTTTTGACTGGTATTGCTGCTTGATATGTGCGTTTTTGTTGATATACAGATATTGGAATTTGCTTTTCTGCACATATGGAATGGAACTTTATTTACCAACACGTACTGTTTATTTGCCTACTACCATATGTAATAGTATTCACTGATAACAGTAGATTTCTTTGTAGCTATTATGAATTTATTGTATGTGCAGATAATGCTCCCTGAAGAAAACTTAAAACAATTTTCAATAACCGCATAATGAAATGTACTATTTTTTTCTTTTCTAGAATTGTCTTGCAAATTAAACCATACGTCACTTCAAATAAAAAAGTATCAGTGATAAGTGTTTCTTCATGGTTAGTGAGGATGTCACATAAGGCTTAGGCTATAATTTTAATTTTTTTGGTTGTGATGTGTTAATTTTTCCAACATCTAGGTACGTCCAATCTGTCGGCAAATACGTTAAATTTATTTCTCTCAACCACTTTTTAATATTCCTGATTTTTTTTAACTGCCATGTCGTGGGCTACCATTACTCTTCACGGATTCCTTTTCTTTATTACCTACGAATTGTAATGTATTCTTTTAGAAAAACGGTCCAGTGTTTTCCTATTGTCTTCTCAATTGTTTGGAATTCAGAGAAGTCTTTCTCTATTACTAGCTATTGTGATTTTAAAAGGTTCTCTCATGAAAAATATTCGCCGACAAATGCCTGAAGAAAAGTTACAATATATGAAAAATCAAAAGCATAAGGAGGTCAGCAGTCCCCAAAAATAGGTTGAACAATGACAGTCCGAGCCACAACGTCGAACATAGGATAGAATTCCTTTAGGAAAAAGAAACAAATAACACTTTACCTTTCCTAGATAGTATGTTATACCGTACTGACAATAACCTAAAACTAAGCATCCATCGCAAAACAACTAATATAAATGATCTCATAAATTTATATTCTCTCCGTGACAACAAAATAAAATCAAGTATAATAAACGGATTTTACTAAATAACGCTCAGAATCTCAATATTTCTAGAAGAAATACATTTACACACTTTTAAGCTAACCTTATACACTAATTTTTCATATTTAACGCGAAACTAAAGACTGATGAAATATCTTTTAAAATATAAGAGGAGACCATTCTCATAATCCCAACGAATCAATACAGATTATTCTATCAACTCCGTAGCATCTATCAGGAATTAAGCTAGTATAATTAGAAAAATAGTTGAATACAATATAAACTGAAGTATATAGTAAGTCTCCTTGTTAAATTGTAAGTCTTTCTTTTTAACAGTTGTTTAATGTACAATGACAATACTAGTTGGGTTATTTAAGATTAGGTCAAATTTGAATAAATTTGCTTGCAAACGTATTGCTTCCCTTGCCTTATTGGGAATAACTTAACATGTCGATCGTTCTTATTACAAGAAACGATCTCCATAAACGCGTGTATTTAAATATATATTTATCTGGTTAGTGACTGATGCTGACAGCCGCCATTAAATTTCCCTCTTGTCCTGAGATGCTATAGTAGCATCTCCCCTAATCATAAGCGTTTGCTCTGATCAGTTCCGTCTTTACTCGGTACAACGTGGCTTCACTTGCCAGAGAGAAACCAGGTTGGTGTAATATGAGGTTGGAGTGGTAGTAAGAATACTATGTTCACCCGCAGGTTAGTCAATTCGTGATGTCTAAGACTCTCCAATTGGTAAGTTCCCACCGCGTAGGATTTCCTCTTTTTAAAACAGCCTCGGACTATATTCTTTTCGAATATAATGATAGAAATACCTTTTTGTTTAAATTAAATAATGTATCAGCACGAGTAATTAGGGGTTTTTTGGTTTACAGAATCAAGTCCTTCCTACTTCTTTCGTATATATATATATATATATATATATATATATATATATATATATATAGGTAAAGTACAGAAAGGATAGGTATATTATAGATGCACGGGACAGGATAAGTATATTATAGATCCACAGCCTTAATATTACTGCTGCAGTTTCCGTAGCAATGAGGCTTTCTTAAGATGTGGAGTGATCTTAACGTGATAAAGAATTACTTAAAAACTCATACTCAACCTCCTAATCCTACAGGGTACGATGGGTAAATTGTTGCCATTTTATATTTTTAATTACGTGTATGCGCGTTGTTTGATTTTGATTTAGTTGACTGCACAGTATAGTGGGGTGCAGTTGAGCAAGAGACCAACAAATCTTTATGTTACCCCAAAGTTGAACTGAAGGCAAGGTTTATGAAAGCATTCACCGACTTAAACAAGGAGACCGTCCAGAAGAAAGCGTAGGAGGTTCCGAAGTCGTCTGGAGGCCGTGGTTGAAGCTAATGACGATTTTATTGAATAAATTTACTTAGTATTTCATGATATTCTTGTGTAATTTTGGTAAGTACATCTGTTAAAGTGAGATGCCAGCGTTATTTTTCTGTTTGCGTTATTTAGGCGACAATTTATCCATCGCACCCTGTATAAGAAAATCCCTTGTTGATAATACAGTCATTTTCCAAATAATATAATCTTAAAAGACATATGAAGATAATGGAAGCACATTATATAAAACAGTATCAACCTACATTTTCCTTCTTAGCAATCCTATAGGATTTTGTGTATCTACGCGGAGCTTTTCATGCGAATATGTTTTGGTTTCTATTTGCTATGTGTCTTCGCTTGATCAATGTAAAAAAAAACAAAAAAACAAAAAAAAAAAAACAGGTTCCGACGAGAATCGAACTCAAAATCCTTTTAGGATTCTCTTCTTTCATGTACCGTTTTCCGTCTCCGGGCCTAAGCGATCATGTCCCTCCAACAATTCCTGTCCTTTGTAGCACTTAATAAATTTTGACTTTCGGTTCTCTTAAGCCATGTTCCACCATCCATTTACTCAAGCCCTCTTATG